CCCCGCATACAGATCTGTTCCAACCTCAGTCTGAACCGCGTCTTGCCAGCCGGAGGTCCGCGCGAATATTGGCTTGCGCTGGAAGCTTACAAGAAGCATGCACCTGCTCATCTGGACTGGATGTGGGCTTCAGAGCCTTTCGAAGCGGCCGCTAAGCGCATTGCGGAGAGATCGGCCAAGGAGGCGCAGAGGCAAAGGGAAGCGCAGGCTAGGGAAAAGGGAGAGGTGCTGCAGCCGGATGGAAGGAGCAAGTTGGGCAAAGCTTGGACAGAAGCCAGGGAAGTTCGAATGAGCGCTAGATTGAGGGAAATGACGGAAAAGACTGTCAGAGCGGCTTTGAATCTCTTTCCTCAAGCTGCTATTACACCTCTTGCGGATGAAGAGCGGCAAGAGGAAGATGCACAAGTGCGCGCATCGGATGGAAAAGGCGTTGCGAGAGGGGCGATGGACGAAGCGGCAGTGGAGAGCCTCATCAAGCAGCTCACTGCTTTGGGATTCAGAGTGGGCCACGCACGAAGCGCTGCTCGATGGGTGCACACCACTCGAGCCGGTCTCCGCACCGCCTCCTCCTCCTCTTCCTCCTCCTCCTCACCTTCTGTTCCTTCTGCCGAAGCTTCACTACGCTCCTCCATCGTCTCGCTCGGAGACAGAGAAGCGGCTCTAGAATATCTGGTGCTCTTTACTCCCGAAGAAGATCTACCGCTTTCCTTTGCACCTAGCAAAAAAGCCGATGCCTTCATCACCGATTCTACGGCTGGGGAGGAGAAGGAACGTCTGGCTGTCAGATGGGCCATGGATCGATTGGTCAGGTATGCTGGATTTCCCAGAAAGGCGGTGCAGAGAGCCATGGCGCAGACGCACGAGGCGCACATCGAAGTCGACAAGCGGGAGATTGTGGTGCTCGATATGCTCCTTGCGCGATTGGTCGGCGATGAGGAGGAAGCGAAACGGGTGCTCCTTGCAGCTTCCGATGAGGGAGCGGGTCGAACGTCGCAGGAGAAGCAAGAGGGGAAGAGAAAGAGGCTAGATGAAAAGTTGACTGTGGGAGCTGTGCTTGGAGAGGAAAAGTTGCGGGGCATCCCGCAGGACGAAAGACCTTTGAGCAGCAGCAGCGATAGTGAGGATGTTGCTGCTGCTGCTTCTACAAATTACGACGTTGTAGTTGCGCAGAGGAAGAAGGGCAAAGGGAGCGCAGAAGGCGAAGAAGTGATCCTGAGGGTATGTCCAGGAGAAAAGTCGAGGTACCCAACGATGGCATCCTTGAGCGCAGCGGACAAAGGCATCTCTTCCTCCACCTCTGCCTCTCTGCCCACATTCTACGTCGCTTCTTCCACCCTGCCTGCCTACCTACGCTTGGCACTCACAGCTAGGCTGATCAGGGCTACGCGCACCAGACCAGATTGGATAGAGATGCTCAGCGCTGGAGAAGGCGGATTGATCTTGTTGATGGTGGAAGAGCTAGAAAATACTTGGAAAGAGGTCTGCGAAGATCCTCCGGATCTGGCTAGCGTCATGCATGGTCTGGTCCCTGCGCCCAGTGTGTCGACAAGCGGCGACGCATCGCTCGACGTCGCTGCGTCCAACTCTGTGATCGATTCGCGAGCCGTCAGTGGCAAAGCGTTGCAGAGGGTGAAAGCCTTGCGGAGAGATGCGCAGATGGACACGCGCTTGTTGCAAGTTGCGCAGAGTCTGAGCCCCGCGGAGCAAAAGACGTGTGCGCAGATGCGAAAGGTCAGAGAGGCTTTGCCGGCTTTCAAAGCTAGGGATAAAGTCTTGCAGCTGCTTAACAGCAACAGGGTCATCATCGTTGCGGGTGAGACGGGGTGCGGAAAGACTACGCAGTGAGTACGGCGGCCCATCTGAGCAGAATGGGGCGACGAAAGACTACGCTCCACAATTGAATCTGCTGACAGTTTCCTTGGGCCAAGCGCCTTTTCTTCAGAATTCCGCAATACATCTTGGACGATTTTGTGCAGCGCAAAGAAGGGAGCTTGTGCAGCGTTGTTGTTACGCAACCCAGAAGAGTCAGCGCTATGGGCGTAGCTGCCAGGGTTGCGGAGGAACGAGCGGAAAGATTGGGCAGTGGAGTGGTGGGGTATGCGATCAGAGGAGAGAGGAAAGCGAGCAAAGATTGCAGGTGTGTCCGAGTTTTTTTTTTTTT